ACAGCATCATGTTCACTCATCTGTGTTCTGTGTATACTTTTGCCTACTTGCTGAAGGATGGAAAAATAAATTTTTATTATGAAATCTACACCTATAGTTCAATGCAGTATTGAAGAAAGGTGATGCGCCCTTCTTCACAAGGGAATTGTGTTCAAAATCATTTTTTTTCCTTTAGTAACATTATATATAGCAAATCTTATAACACTCCAAAGTGCAGATGATTTTTTAAAAATAATTCTGGGCTTCCCAGAAGTATTTGTTAGTCTTGCCAAAGAGTTGTGTCACGTAAGTGAGTGGTATGAACCTTTTGTGATTAGCTACCTAAACCTTTTGAAGGGTTTTGAGAATGTAAAGTGAACAACACCAACACCACCAACAACAAATTCCACTGCTTCAGATACAATTCCCTAGGAAGATGAGGGCTGCTGCCAAGTACACTACAGCAAATGATGAAAGCTCAGCACGAAATAGCCAGCCTCGCGGGGGTGATAAGTGACAGCACGTTAGATATGTGTTAGCAGCGTGATAGGGCAATGAAAAAGGCCAGCACTATTTTTGGCTGTGCGGTACAAAACAGCATCTCCTCACCGAGCTGGGGCTGATCATTCCTTTCTACCCAGTTCTCGTGAGGCAGCATCTGGGATGTGCCTCGAGTGTTAGACATGTGTGCACCGGCAAGATAGACAAGTAGGTGGGAGTCCCAAGCAGAACATCTGCAGGGATTAAGGACCTCAGATGAGGCAAGTTTAGGTGCTTTTTAGAAGTGGCATGTGGAGGAATAAGAATGGAAGTAAAGAGATATTAACCTTTTCCGAGATAGAATGATACTGAAGAAATATCGTCCTTGTAAAGTTAGTCACTGTGAAGAGAGTTATGACTCTTCAATAGTTGGTATTGGTTTAATACAGTGTGCTTTGGAGGGGTTACTCAAGCATTTTCACAGACAGCAGATCATCAAAAAGACTCTAAAGCAAAATTAAGCTAATACTTGTTTATCAAAGGATCAACTTTGGTAGTGTTAGTGTTTGCTGTAAATGGGAAAAATAATACAAAATAATAATAGATCGTGTAGGTCAGGGGCTTTTGATTGGAAATTCAAGTGCAGTTTTCTTGTAAACTTGGGAACAACAGAGGTGAGACTTCATAGTAATCTCTAGAAATTTAAAATATGAAATAAAGATATAATTTATTTACTTTCCACAATAGTATAGGCAAGTATAGCAAAAAGAAATTAAGAAATGTAGAAAACTGAATGTCAGGGAATATTTCTATAGTGAGAACTATTGGACCATAGAATATTCTCCTAGGAAAATGGGGTAGAATTTCATTGGATATTTGATCTTGACAGATTTGAGTGTGTATCAGTAGGGAAATAGACTGAATATCCCTGTAGGCATATTCATTTCTCTCTTCTCTGATTCTGGGCCCTTGTTCATGATCTCTTCACCTGCTGTGATCAGAAAGAATTTTCATCTCTTGTTTTTCTATACCCAGGCATGTTTTCGATGCTTTGCTGATTGACATAGGCTAAAAAGACAGCTTCATTGCCCTGAGGTTGACCCGGCACCATTCCTTCACCTGCTGTGATCAGAAAGAATTTTCATCTCTTGTTTTTCTATACCCAGGCATGTTTTAGATGCTTTGCTGATTGACATAGGCTAAAAAGACAGCTTCATTGCCCTGAGGTTGACCCGGCACCATTACTCCTGATTTTGTAGAATTACTCCCCTCAGTTTGGGATGCAGTGTTAGGGTTCCTTACTGAAGGTAGATAAATTTAATCGAGTGGGCCAGTATGTATAGGGTCAGTGTCTTCTTCAGAGATACCTAATAACCCACAGGGTTGCAAGGTTGCCTCCTTGGGGTGCTCTGGGAACAGAACAGCTGCAGGAGTGAGTGACAATCTTATTTCCCCCCGCCCCCAGGATTTTACTAGGTGACCATAGACTCTTACTGTGTCCTGTAGAAATGCCATAATTTCAGGTTCCTGGATGGGAAAGGGCTATTATGGTATGGCAGTGATGTGTATGCCAGTCTTTGTCTGTAATGGTATCCTTACTTAATAAAAGTAGTAAACTAAGAATGCAGATTAAAATTTAGTTTCCTTACAAATGGTCTGTGTTTCCTTGTAATAAACTAGCTTGTTGGATAAAATTGTGTTCTTAGCTTGACATGTAAATGTCTCCATGATTTGGACAAAGTTACTTTTCCAGGCTTAGTTTTATTTTTTTCCTGTAGAAATCCTGTGTTCCAATTAAATCAGTCTTTCTCTCCGTTCTCTAAATGTGACTCTGCCCTTTCTTATACCTGTGCTTTTGTTTGTAGTTTACATCTTCCCTGCTGTTTTCACCCTCCTCCCTGAATACCTTCTCTGATGTACTCCAATCCTCTCTGTCTTATCTATGAAGCATTCAATGATCATTTTCTTTCAAGAACTCACTGCACTTCTCGTTTTTACTACTTATTTAACATATCTAATAGTTATATTTTTCTTCCTCCACCAAATCCTCATCTTTCCTTTTTAATCAGATTAAAGTCCTCTTGTAAACTATTTTTTACGTCTTTAAATTTCTCACATTACTTTTGTATTTACATTTTTTAAATTTATTTTTCAATTAGTCTTTAGCCTTTTGAGAGAAGGGACTGTAGTTTATTCGTTGTGTCTGTCCCCTCACCTTTGCCTACAGAGTTTGGCAGTATGCACCCAATAAATATTTCTTGAATGAATGAGTATTAGATACTCAATATATATCTATTGATTGGTTGATTTAATACTTGCTGTAGACTGACTGTTTATATCTCCCCTAAATTCATATGTTGAAATCTAATCCTCATTGTGATGATATTTGGAGATGGGTCCTTTGGGAGGTGATTAGGTCATGAGAACAGAGCCCTTCTGAATGGAATTAGTAGCCTTATAAAAGAGGCCTCAGAGAGCTCCCTGTCGCTTCTGTCATATGAACCAGGAAATGGGCCCTCAGCAGACATCAATTTTGCTGGTGCCTTGATCTTGGACTTCCCAACCTCCAGAACTATGAGGAATACATTTCTGTTGTTTGTAAGCTACCCAGTCTCTGGTATTTTGTTAAGGTATCCTGAACTGACTAAGACAAGATTGAATTTTAAATGCCTTGTAAATGTAATGAACTTTGTAGATTTAAAAATTGTGTGGCAGAGGAATCATAAAACAGTGAAGTTTTGCTACATTCCCAGGAGACCAGTTCATCCTGCTTTCTCTTAGACTGGGCTGTAGTTAAATCATCTATATCTGAAAGGTTTCTGTTGCTCAGGATTAGCTCAGATTTCCAGATAAGGGGCATGAAATAATGTTGGCAAGAGCAACCATTAATAATTGAGACTGTCACAGCATGGTTGCTATATAACTGATTCTCACTCGTTGACAGGCATCATTTTCATCATGATTTCACAATGATGGATTTGAAAGAATGATGGATTTGGAAGAATGATGAAAAACTTGATAGTAGGTTAAGTAAACATAAAACTTANAGAACTATGAGGAATACATTTCTGTTGTTTGTAAGCTACCCAGTCTCTGGTATTTTGTTAAAGTATCCTGAACTGACTAAGACAAGATTGAATTTTAAATGCCTTGTAAATGTAATGAACTTCGTAGATTTAAAAATTGTGTGGCAGAGGAATCATAAAACTGTGAAGTTTTGCTACATTCCCAGGAGACCAGTTCATCCTGCTTTCTCTTAGACTGGGCTGTAGTTAAATATATCTGAAAGGTTTCTGTTGCTCAGGATTAGCTCAGATTTCCAGATAAGGGGCATGAAATAATGTTGGCAAGAGAAACCATTAATAATTGAGACTGTCACAGCATGGTTGCTATATAACTGATTCTCACTCGTTGACAGGCATCATTTTCATCATGATTTCACAATGATGGATTTGGAAGAATGATGAAAAACTTGATAGTAGGTTAAGTAAACATAAAACTTACCAAATTGTCCTTCGTTTTTTGGAAAAAATAAAATTTAAAATTTTGATTTTATTTTTTAATTTTTGATTTTTGATTTTGATTTTCTTATCCTATTAAAAAAGTTTTCCTTCATATCTTGCTATGAAGATACTTGCTGTAAATTAAATCCGCTTTCAGTGATATCTTTAGTGTGTAATTAACCTTCTTTAAGTGTTATGTCTTTCTTTACAGTCATCAGAACTTCTATTATGTAATTCTTTGGAGTAAATGCTAGTTAATCAGAGCATGCATTTCAAACTGGAGGGGCAGCTTCAAGTGAGTGGCATGGAGGTGTTTCTTCTGAGAAACAGAAACAGTTTGTGAAGTGTTTTGTGGTTTTCCAGGAGATGAGGTGCTATAGAAAGGTAAGGCTTTTATTACAACTCTCAGCTAATTATACAGAACCATACTAACATCATTGATGATTCTTTTGCATAATCAAAGAATTAAACAAAAAAGTCATATTAATTTTCAGCTCCGTTAGAGATGCAAGAATCGAGAAAGATGTTTGTCAAATGGGTAGGTACCGAACTGGTAGGAGGAAGAAATTTTAATTTCAAGCTTCAAGTGAATGTTACAAATAACCTAACATTAAAAAAGACCTGATGAAGTTTGGATGTGTTGTCCCCTCCAAAACTCATGTGGAGATTTGATCTCCAATGTGGCAGTGTTGGAAACTGATTGAGTCATGGGGGTGGATCCCTCGTGAATGGATTAATGCTCTCCCTGGGGGAGAGGGGATTAATGAGTGAGTTCTCGCGCTATTAGTTCCCGCGAGAGCTCCTTGCTTAAAAAGACCCTGGCACCTTCTCTCTCTCTCTTGCTTCCTCTCTCTTGCTTCCTCTTGCCATATGATCTACTTGTTCCTGCTGGCTGCCTGCCAGTTTTCCGCCACGAGTAGAAACAGCCTGAGGCCCATGTCAGATGCAACTGTCCCAGAATCGTCAGCCAAATAAACCTCTCTT